TTAGAATTAATATCAGGATGATGGATCACATCTAACCAGTAGAGAGAAGAGGCGACAGTAATGAAAAGGTTCATGTCCATATTCTTTAAATTTCTTGTCTCTATATACTTAACATTGCTGGCGACAGGTAGTGATTCTACGCAAAACTATACAAGGTGGTGATCAGATATCGAAGGGAAGGTAACAGTGTCGTTTCAGTGACTGGTATGTTTTGACTAACAAAAGCCACGTCACTCAATGTAGAGGTGAAATGGTAACTCTGTGGTTTCTTCAACAATCTGAGCTAGTCCAGAGTCTCTCAATATGTTACTTAGGAAATCATAACTTGAACCTGACTTATTCAAAAATTAATATTGAGGTCACCCATATAAATTTATGCTATCTACTTCCAAATAAAAGTCCTCCAAAGATGCTTCCAGACCTAACAGTGCTGAGAAATCTACCAACGGTGGTCTATAAACAATACCAGTTGCATGTAAGTGCTTATTAACTTTAATTTTAACCTATATTTGTTCTAGACCTACTTCAACTGAATTTTTAGGGTTACATATGTTACAACTAAGTCCAGTTCTTATGTAAAAAGCCACCCCCACCACCTCTTCTGCTAAGTCTGTCTGATATGAAAAGTTGAAAGCCCTCAATATCAATATGCTTGTTCGAAACTTCAGGCTTAAGCCATGTTTCTGTTAAACCAAACACATCGAAGTTTTGAAGCAAAACGTAATCCCTAATGTCACTGAAGGAGCTAATCAAGGATCTCACATTTAGAAAGCCAATCAATAAATTCTGGTCATCATTTGCAATAACATCAAATTCATACATGTTTATCAGTTCTAAAAGATCGTTAAATATTCAGAAAAAACAAACAAAGAATGTAGCAAGAGGTTATAAGAAGAAAGAATAGAAAGTGTGTACAAAAAGAGTTTGTATGGGATTAAAAGTGACGATAAAAAACTGTTTTGCTAAATTTAAATTTAACCCTGAAAAAAACTACTGAGAGTAGTTCGTTTTTTCACGAACTATATCTTCTACCTTTTTTAAAGAGGCACACTGCATGACACGTATCTATATTTTTTTTTGTTTTTTTCATTAAAAACTGCACAATTGACACACTTAAGTCTAGGACTTTTACAGGATTTCCTCTCGTGATTACCCATACACAGAGGACAAACAATACCTTTCACACAACTTTTTTGTATACATGTATGACCGTATTCACAGCATTTAAAACATCGCACTATGGAAAGATGCTCAAAAACATTACACCTGCTATATTCACTTTATTTACATGCAAGAGTCTGTGAAAAGTCGAAGGATCCGTTTCTGCTACAATATCCATCTTGCCATTCCTAGCTGCATATTGTAAACTATATTGAAAGTGCACTCAGCGCCTATGTTGTTTTTGGGCCTTCAACTGCTTAAATTCTTTATCTAAATTGTTAATGTCTTTAACTATATTTGGAAACCTACTAGCCAGAGGACCTATGCTTTCAGTTTATGATATATTTGATGGGTGCAGAAAAATGAATGGTTTGAGAATCTGTACTTCTCGGGAATTAAAGGGGAATTTCTTGAACATCCTGATTTTATGGAACATCATAATAAAAATTTACACGCGTCGTTAATCCGGGGGTAAAGGTTATGCACCTTGGGGGTTTCAGACTGAAATTCCAAATTCATATCCGTAAAATTCGGTAATATAGATTGCAAACAAAAGATATAGTTTATTTAATTTATTATTAAGCATGTCATGGATTTCCGCTGCTCCTGAAGCTTCATCGAATGCTTCAATTCTAAAATAATTCTCTAGATCATTATTGGTTTGTTCGTACAGCCTGTTTGCTGACACTCAGCAAACTGATAGTCGGCGACAAGTCATGACCTAGTTTTCTCAGTTAGCTGTCACTGACTCGTCGCTGACTGTATCAATTGCGTACATGAGAAAGTTACAAGTTGGCTGAGAGAGGTCATACCGATTATCGACAACTAATCCGCTGTTCGTACAGAAACTTCTGACTGTTTGATGACTGTCAAATTAATCAGCAGATAGTTTGCCAGTAAATTGTCAGAGCTCGAAGTCAAGTACAATAATAATTATTTGAATGTAAAATTTTTCAGAATGAGGTAGACAATTTTGAAAAAATTGGGGGTTCATTTGCTGTAAACCACGATGATCTAGAATTTTCGAGAAAAACATGGACACTTTCTAGAAAAAATAACAGCACTCAAAAATGTCAAGCAGATTTACTCAGTAATTCCCATTAAATTCTCATATAAAAAGTATAAACATAAATTCGAAGAAATATGATTCCACACATCGAATGACAAGTTGAAGAAATAAATACATAGTAAGAATGAACGTCTGCAGTGATTATGCATGACAAATGTATTGCGAATGACTTTTAATAAAACGCGGATAGTATGGTTTTTGTTCCCTGTTCCCTTGTCGCCCAGCCTCGAAGAGTATGCACAAACAGTATTTATATATTCTAGCTATAAGTCCAACCCAAAGTTGATGAAAAAATAAACAAAATAACGAATTCTGGAGATTTTGTGATACAGGTTTTTTTCACGGGTGCCCACGGAGAGGGAGTGACTGTTTCTGTTGGGGTGAAAATAATATTTTCCCTATATAGGGTATTTTAAATTCGATCCTCACCATTGGGATATCAGAAACTTCAAGGGATACGAAGTCGCATAAATAGTGGACAAAGTTGCGTATTCAGATAATCTGCAAAACGTCACTTAGAAAGTTTTGAAATTGAAAGTACTTCCGGAAAGAAACGTAAAAAACGAAATTTCCAAAAAAGGGTTTTAATCTCGTCCTGACTTTATTTGTGGTGGGATTTCAAAATAAATTACACATGAACTCTGCCACATTTCCTCCTCTACAAGGCGGCACAATTAGAATTTCAATATGACGTTTCGTATCTTGTCCACCAGCATCAACTTAATTTTTTTTATAGACGCCATATTGGATTCTTAAACACATGAATAAAATGTTTATTCTGACTTAAAAAATGTATATGTCATACACTGACATTGCAAAACCTAGGTAGGCCTTGAAATTATCAGACTTCATTTGTTTTGCATGGCAACAGAGTTTGGAAGACTGTGAATATCTCTGCTTATTTCTGGTTATTATTGTTATTACCATCAATAAAATTTCCATTTCGTATTCAGGTTTCGCCATATAATAATAATGTCTTTATTAATCCATCCACACTGCGAGGCGAAATTTAGCCAGCTGGCTACTCTAGCACTTAACCTCACAGCGCAGGAACACATACAAAAGGAAAGATATAACAATTAATAGTAATCGACTAAATAATATATACAATAATTAAGGCTTAAATAGATTAATCTTAATATGTTTTTTTTATACTCCAACTACCACGAAGGCCTAAGGCCTAAACACCCATTGGGCACCGTGCGGCTATAGGAGGATACAGGGGAAAGAGGGACGCCACACGGACTCTGGCGAGGGAACACGTATACATGCAACATGCACACATTCTGTCTCCGCCTACGAGATCTGCCGGGTGGTACCTCCACGTTCGACAGTCAGAGACCGTCTACCACCTACGGACAATCACAACATCCATAGCCAAGAGAAAAATTTCTCCTGGGACGGGACTCGAACCCGCACAGCGCACGGCGACTGATCAGGAGACCGAAGAGTCTACTACTACGGCCACCGCTGCTGCCTACATCTATGTATGTACATCTATTCTACATAGCCCGCTCTAACAACAAAAAACAATAAAGACAAATATATATATATATATATATATATATATATATATATATCAGCCAGCTTGGCTAGCAGACCCCAGAAGATGGTTCTTAATGGCACTCTTGAATGCAAGTATTCCCTTCTTTTTGTAATTGCCATTAAGACTATTATACACCTTGACAGCGTTGTAGGTGAAGCTACGATGGAAAATGTTGCTCCTATAACTAGGTATATTGAAGTCAGAGTTATGTCTGAGATTCCTGTAATTGAGAACCTCACGTGGTACCAGCCTTTTTAGTAGATAAGTAGGTAGCCTATTGATTTTTATTCGTTGTACTAAAATTAGTAAATTATATGTGAAAAGCTGGTCAACCCTCAACCATCTAAGCTCATTGATCTTCTTAGACACATGGCTAAACTTTCGCAGACCACAAACGAACCTACAGCAGCTATTTTGAATTTTTTGTACTCGATATCTAGTCACGTAATCAAGACAAGGAAAGTAAACAGCAATTGAATAATTTATTAACGACAGAACCAGAGTCTCAGCCAGTTTTTTGCGAGTCTTGAAATTCAGAATATGGCGATTGGTGTATAATATCTTCAAACGCATGTATGTTAAGCGAGATAAATGCGTAACATGTTGCTTAAACCTCAAATCTGAATCCATGGTGATCCCTAAATATACTAAGTGACATATAAATCCGAACACCCAGTTTAAATGGTTTTATTTTAATAAAATTTTGTATAAGTACTTAATGAAGCATAATAAGTAAATGATAAAAATTTCAAAATGATTGCACTGCTTTAAAGCCCTTTGACCTTTAATAATGTGTGGATGCACCCTGATGTACTACGCATTCTCCAACGCGCCTAGGCATGCTTCTGATCAGGTGGTCAATGTCCTCCTGTGGTATCTCATTCCAGGCAACCATCAACTCCTCTCGAAGTACTTGAGTCTGAGGAGGACGTTGCAAATTGAGCAATCTCGTACCCATCATATCCCACACGTGCTCAATTGGGGATAAGTCGGGAGATCTTGATGGCCATCGTAACAATGTGACATCATTATATTGAAAGAAGTCTATTATGACTCTTGCAACATGTGGTCGGGCATTATTTTGTTGGAAAGTTGGATCTGCCAGGGTGTCAAGATAGGGTAAAAGATGGGGTTCTAGAACTTCGTGGATATAACGCTGCGCGTTCATGTTACCTCTGATGAAGATTAAAGGTGACCTGGAACCATAAGCTATAGCACCCCAAACCATAACTCCAACAGTGTGATGGTACAGGTCTCCGTACTCTAGGCATCGTAATCGATCGTAAAGGATGTCAAGAACCAAAATCCGCCAACGTTGATTCTTTACTGCGGCTGAAATATTCATTTTTAGAGCGTTAGTGAATTAAAAAAAAGCAGTATAAAAACCGGAATGTCCAACTGATAAGGCTGAAAATTTTTTCACTTGTTATTTACAGTAAGATAAATACATTCACCAACTTTTATCAAAATAAAACCATTTAAACTGGGTGTTCAGATTTATATGTCACTTAGGAATATGGGTTTCGTTAAGACTAGGAACAATTGTGCCATCTAACCGTTGTACTAACTGTTTTGGGCCAAATAGCATGGTGGAACATTTTGAAGCATTGATCTTCAGACAATGTCTTTTGCAGTACTCTTCAATGTTAACTAGATCTAAGTTCAATTTATATGATGCCTCATGCATGTCCAAAGAATCAAAAGACAGAGTTAGCTGGGTGTCATCTGCATACGTTTGAATTTTACAGTGCTGAAGGCAAGTATTTAGATCAAAAGTATAAACTAAATAGAGTAAAGGTCCCAATACAGAGCCTTGAGGTACGCCAGATGCAACACTCTTTGCCGAAGAAAATCCCTTACGTGTTTTCACCTTCTGGGTACGATTACACAAATACGAATCGAAGACATATGTTTTTATTTCCTTTCAATTTTCATCCAACAACAAATTTATGGTCAACTAACGAAATACATCAATGAATTTAGAGCTGAAAAGTCCATTTAAATGTACAAAATTCCCATATAGTGTCCGTATGAAAAAACAAATTTGATGATTGAAGTCGAAAGAAGAAATGTCGAATTGAAAATTTGACAACGTCATCTTGTAGACGAGAATAAGTAACAATGACAATATGCAATTTACTTTGAAATCCCATCTCAAATAAAGTCAGGAAAAAATAGAGCGATTTTGGGATAAATCTGGTGAGCGAAACAAACATCTGATAATTTCAAGGCCTACCTAAGAAATTTTTTTCCTTTTTTGAAGTCACCAAGGTTAGACAACGTCAATGTATGACGTCTTATGGATTTTTTTAATCAAAATTAAAAACTATATTCATCTGTGCAAAAATGCACTTAAGAAATAATAAAGTTGATGCTGGAGGACAAGAGACGAACAGTCATATAGATGATTACGCCTTCTTGTAGAAGAGAAAACGTGGCACTGCTAATGTGCAATTTATTTTAAAATCCCAATATAAATAAGGCAGGAAAAAATCAAAACTATTTTGGGAAAATTCAGTTTTTCCGTTACTCTGGGGAAGTACTTTGAATTTCGAAACATTCTAAGTTTCATTTTGTTGGCTACCCCAATGGTGAGTGCCAAATTAGAAATACCCTGTCTATGCAGACTCTCACTAGAAGAAAGGAGTGAAAATACTTCAAGGACCTAATAGCGACTTAAAACGAATAATAAAGGGTTATACACTGAAAAGCTAAAACGGCTGAACATAACTACAATTATCAAGATCTGCTTAAATAGCTGTAAGTTTCACAAGGTTCTCAATATGGACAAAAAGATCTGAGACTACGAAAATACATAGAAGTAAGGGTTAAATCGCCTAATTTTGCATTTTGCATTTGTAACAAACATTTTCACAAAAATCGTATTAACTATGGTTCTTGAAAGTTATGTCCTGTATTGTTCGGATTTTTCATACTGTATTCATAATCTTCATTTTGCTATTACCGGGTCAATAAACAAAATATTGAGCGGAAAGCACTTTGGCGCTAGCAAATATTTAAAATGGAATTTCATTAAAATTTCTTCTGCCACTTGCTTACCTGAAAATGCTCAAGGTTTAAGGTTTTTCTGTTTCATTCTTCCCTCAGAAGGTCTTCAAAGTCTTCATCTTCTTGGTATATCGCTCAGTTTTTTTTAAACCGATGCAGCCGCGCAGGTGAACCCTACATGCCAGGGCACCGCGGCTGCTTTGAGGAACTTAAAGAAACTTTGTTATTCCCATTTTTGAACTGCCTAAAGTTAGTAGAACTGGGAAAATCATGTCATGTAGATTGTTACACGATCTCGACACCCTTGAGACAAAGGAGAGGGCTTATCGGCCAGTTCTGGATGTACGAAGTTCGACACGGTTACGATGGGACGCCGAAGTCAGGCAGGCACATCGCGCGGCGACATCATGGAAGAGAGCTTCGAGGAGCAAAGCCCTTTGGCGTAGCTAGATCGCCAACGGCCCATAGATGCGAAGGTATCCCGAGACCGTCCATTAGAGAAGAGTTATCGATCATTAAATGCCTTTTGCGAAGCAATTTTAGTCCTCAAGATAGTTTCGACACACTATGATACCTGCCACTGTCACTGGTTGATTAGTGTCCTCTGATCTGTCAGAAGGTTCTGTACGAACAGCGGATTAGCTGTCTTTAAACAGTCAGAAACTGTACGAACAGATAACATCTCTCTGATTCTGATTTTGACAGTCATCGACAAGTTACCGACTACTGTACGAACAAACCAAACATTGCTCAATAATTCTACTTACAGCGTAAATCAGTGACAGCCACCTGGTCTGTGATGAAATTTGTGGGGTTTGATGTTAAAAAATATTTGAAATTCCGAAAACCTTTTAAAACTGCGATGCATATAATGTATACGCTTGTTACCAACTTTTCTGCATCGTCCGCTAATTTTTCGCAAGCAGAAGAGGCACAAAGGGCTAAAGAGTGGCATATACACTTCATGACACATAAATCCGGTATATCGTTAGTTAAAAGAGTTTTAAGCTCCCATCATAGCATTTGCCCCATCTGCTGCAAAACCTACTAAATTATCTTTGTATGGTATTTTATTTTCGAAAAAAAAAACTTATAACGACGTTGTATAAATTTTGGGCTGAAGCGTCTTTAACTAAAATAAGGTCGATAAAATGATCCTTTATATTAAAATTTTTATTGTACCGGACAACAATTGCTAAATGTTTTTCGGACGTGAAATCTGTCGATTCGTCAACTAATAATGAAAATTTATGGCAATTTAAGTCACTAATAAGATTTTCAAAACTTATTTTCCCTAATACATTGTTTATGATTGCCGTACATTTAGTTCGGTCTACAGACATTTTTCGCTTGGCTACTCTCTATTCCAGACAAACAAATAGATTTTATAAGTTCGCTAAGATGATCTAACACATTTATTGCGATATTATGCTCTGCAATAAAAGCTGCAATTTTAATTTCATTTTGTTTTACTGTATTATCAGAAGAAATTTCATATACTATTTTTGACCAAGTTGGCTGCTTAACCATAATAGTTAAATTTTTTATATGCTTTTTTGAATAACTTTTTTTAAAGCTCCTATGCCGCATAAATAATCATAATTGCAAACCTTGCAGTGAAAAAAATAGCTTCCACAGGAACTTGATGCACCCAGTTCTTAAAATTTTCATGCTGCTCCCACTCAGCCTTGTATTTTTGGGAATATATTTTTTCTTTTGAGGTTGGTTGATTTTCTGGATCTTGCTGGATACTGAATTATCAGAATCAGAAGTGGAGTGTAATTCATTTGTTGTACTCGGTCTCGTTTCCTCTGATTCTTCTTGAACTGAAGCAGACGGTTTGCTTGGACCTGGTTGTGGAGATAATGGCCGAACTGCATCATCTTTTTTCTTAATTCCCAAAAATTTTTTCATTAATTTAGTATCTGATGGCCTGAAAAACAAAAAAATGATTTTAGCCTTTATTACAAAATAATTTTTGCCTCAATTAGGTATTAGCATATTTTTATTGTTAACGATGTCTCATCAAATATTTTGTAAAATAAATTGTTTTAAAGAAAAAAAATTCAAATATGTACACTGTGTTCCAGTTTGCTTGTATATAATTGCACGGTATCTTGGATATTTTGAAAGATAGAACCTTACAGTTTCAGGAACCTGTGCCACTTTTTTCTGCAATATAACAATTAATGGAGGGCATAAATACAAGGTGCACTCATTTTATATCATACTCATATTAATGTTCATATTCAAAGTGCAAATACAGGGTGTTCCATTAAAAAAAACTAAGTTAGGGTCATAGCTCTTGAACGACGCCTCTGATTTATTTTCGAGCACGCCATAGAATATGCAGACGTATCTATCTAAGCAGTTTTCACCTTTTTTCTATCTTATAGAGGGTGCGGGCTAACAGTGCCCTAAAACGTGAAATTTTTCGTTTTCACCCTGTATTTCAGTGGCAAAACGAGATTTGTTAAGATTGATTCTCACTATACATTCCGTTTCCATTCCGTAACCGTTCCGTAAATTATTGAAATTAAATATTCGCCTTCGCTTAAAGCAGCCTATTGCGTGTGTATGCACATTATCCGTAAGATATATTGTGTATACAATCAAATTGTACTCTGAACGTTCACGAAACTGATATGGAATGGGAACGGAATGTATAGTGAGAATCAACCTTTAATTCTGTTTGTAGCATTATTAGTTCAAACAGTTTTCTGTAGCAAGAATTAGTGAGATCCTAGTCAATACTTGCCGTTGCTAGATGGCGCGGTAGAATTTACTGACGGTTCCATACTAAATATGAATTGCAATGATTATTATACATAAGGGCCTCAAAGGCTGAAAGGCAAAGAAATTTATAGTAGATGATTGCCTTTGTTGTTTCAGTTTTATTTTGTATTTCTGTGTAAGCTTTTATTTAAGGCGACATCTTGTGGTCAATTCTTAAACTATAATTTACTAGTGTTATATAGGGACTTTCGCCATTCTTAGTATGGACGTTGGCAAATCCGATGTGAAATGTCAGTTCAATTTGATTTTGGGTAGCTACAAGAAAAAACAGCTACTTACACAAAAGCGCAATTTTGTAGCATTTATACTGTCGATTGTACCTGTACAACTTCAAATTCTATTAGGAGTGAGACAATTTTTTTATTTGTAGCTGCGAATATACGTTTTAATTGGACATCTTTAGGCAAAAAATGGAGAAGGCTGAAAATTGGCAAAGCAAATACTGTCTAGAGTCTAAACAACATCCTCAGCAGACTACTATTGCACTGTGCTCGTTTATGGAGCAGCAGAACTTCGTGGATGTAGCCATTTGCTGCGAAAAAAGGGTTCTACACGTTCATAAAGCGGTTCTGGCTGCTAACAGTGCCTTGTTTAAGGTGAGTAGATATTTCCCACAAATACACATGATCATGACTCATGTATTTTTATAGGAAGAATTGGATAAAAATTCATCTGTCGACCATGTGGTGATCACAGGATGTGAGTTTTCTGTGGTGAAATCCTTAGTGGAGTTCATGTACTGTGGATCGACTATTGTATCAGATGAACATCTCAAATATTTTGTTGCGGCAGCCAGGACATTACAAATGAAAGCATTGGAAAATCTGACACTTGGCTGCCCCTTACCTGGTAATTTATTTCATTAAGACATTCCAATTTTATTTTGTCTTATACAACGTACATGAATAGTTTATTTCTCGGATGCAATTAGAATAACGCAAAAAGTGACACAAGTCTTATGAAAAATTTCATATAGGGATCTCCTACGAAAATACGGTACTCGCAAATTAAGACACTGGAGACTGTTTTTTTTATTTCACGTGTCTCGTTTATGTCGCAAGGGAAAGACTACCACAATATTGCTTATTTTTTATCACTCAATAGTAATGACTCAAGAGCGACATTTCTTGAAAAATGTATCCCCGATGGACGTTTTTAAGATGAGTACATAGTTGCTTGGAGATATTTATAAAAAATTGGAAACATTCTGAGGAAGCGTAAGTATCGGCGACAACAAAGAGTTTTTTGACTGCAACCAAAAACTTTTTTCAAAAATATAGCAGCGTTATCTACTATGACCATATCATATTGCTCCTCAAATTTCATTCAAATTGATTTAGGATGACGCAACGAATTCTAATATATTAGAAAGAGTCAAGCCTATATGTTTGTCGCCAAAATTAGGTACGTAGTTTTCGTGCATACTTTTGACTCACTTGACTACCTATGCCTAACAAAGTGACCGCATTGTACTAACACAATAATAATACTTACCGGTGGAAATTCCTACCTTCAGCAGGCTGGTGCTGCTCTTTGCAAATTATCTAAGAATAAGTACCATGTCTTGAGATCGTCTAATAACACCTCAATTATCTGCAAACACCCGCACTTCTAAAAAGTAACAGCAAAATATGAATTTAACGACAGAGATGTCAAAAAATTTACTTACGTCAAGTGCACTTGTAGTATACATACTACAGATTATGAAAATTAGGAGACAAAAAATCCTTGACTGGCTCCTTCGGCCTAGTCCGAATTCGGATGCAACATGCAGTGGAAAGATAGACCAAAATGAGGGATATTTTGGTGAAAAATCACCACACCTGGTAACCCTGATCAATTAGTAAGCACAACGATGCTTGCGTGGAAATAAGAGTGTGCGTAAGTCTGGTTGCCTATTCGTTCTGCTCGACGCAAATATGAATAAAATAGAGTTTTTCTGCATGTTTCGGCTTGGTAGTACTGTATGTCCGTTAGTGCGTTATGTGTTCTGTGAATAAGGTAGTTAATCGAAAATTTAGACATTCGGACGGGAATATAAGAAAAATCCTTTTCGCGCGCGCCTTTGACCCTGTGAGCAAACTTGATAAAAACACATTTTGATGGACAAAATCAGAGAAAAGCAGTCTCATCTGAATGAAAGGAGATGATAAAAAGTATGCATCAAGTTATCTAACCGTAAGAGTGATCAAATCTCGCACACTTCATCTATCAGCTCAAAAGCTTATGCATTACTTAATACTTTTGACTGTTTTTATTTTTTACTCAGTATGATAATATTGTCTTAGTTTTATCATTAACATGGTGTTTCCCAAATATGGGGCAAGCATTTAATGTGTGACTCTTGGGACTATTCTGAAACTATTATATTTGATCCTCTCGATTTGCGAAACACCTCTTGATTCCGGAAAAATAGGACCCTAAAGGAAACGGCGTTGGAAAAATGTTTTTCTTATATATGTGTATATATGTACGTGTATATATCGCCGCTTAAGTTTTAACATCGCGTAACTCAAAAAATGGCGATATCATGCGTGTCATTCGATAGGAAATTTTGGTCGTTTAAAAACTTGTCAGTTTTGAGCTACGCTGTGTTAGAACATAAGTGATGATCCAACTAAAACTATCAACTCATTTAGCTCGCCAGAGAGCCATAAACGCAATATATTGCTAATTTTTTACACCTTTGTATAATAATGCCTAGAAAATAGTATTTTTGGAAATTATAACGTACTGTTCCATCTACATCATTGTAATACTACCTGTGGTTGTTTCAAGAATTGTTTGATTCTGATAACATCCACCGTTTTTTTTTAATATTCGTGGTTTTCAGGTCGCAAATTTTCAATACGAGTAAACCAGTAACGGTTCCATAATTTAGAAAACTGTACCACAATAATAAGGGTGTTGTACTTCAAAACCCCAGAATGGCTCAGTGAATAAGACACACCCCTTCCCCTCCGGAGACAAAAATTCTCCTGAACATAAATCCTGTGACCCCTGACATAAATCCTGGTCCCTTGCACTATACAGGGTGACCTTGAAGTTGAGTCATTAATTTTCAGATAATGATTGTAGAAGGAAGATAAACCAAAATATGTGTGTAAAAATAAAAAAAAATAAAAAAAAAATTTTACCTTGTTTTATAAAGTATCCTCCCGACAAGTATTTCAGTGCGGACCTGTATTTGATCGTGAGGTCCCCTGTGAGGTCTTAAGTCACCTGATTCACGAGCCGGTTGTACTACATTAACAAAGGCACGAGGGGTTGGTTGCACTCGATTGGGAAACCGATCCGCATAAACATGTTTCATTTTTTATTTCGTTTGAGCCACGCAACAGATACCACTATTCATTGACACTGACTGTATACAAATGAATGAAATAATTGTAAAAACATCGTTCAAAATTCTTTCGCTTTTTTGTTTCCGATGCGATGAACCGATACGGCGGATTATATCCGTTGTCGCCAAACACGAGCACATAATATTATCATTGAGACAGGGCGGTACTCAAACTTCCAAAGGGCTATAACTTTGTTACTTTAATTTTACCAGAAAAATGATAAGGAAAAAAACATTTCCTTTAATCAGATCTACTCACTGTTAAAATAAATGACTCAACTTCGAAGTACTGTATAAAGCAGTATTCTTTCTCATAAGTCGATTATCGTCCTTCAAATGTCGCCTTTTACGTTTGCTTTTTCTTTTTCAGCCGACATGATAGTGATTCCCAAGCCCCAGTTTCTCTCCAAAAAGCCCAAATACCCTGCGCCAATTTCGTCCAGCAATCTGTACATTCCCAACAAAGACGATAGAAAGCTCCGTATAGAAGCTGAACACCGAGCATGTGTTAAAGAAGCCGAGGCTAGTAGATCGGCTATTGCTAACCTGACAAAAGAGATCGTATCTGCTCCACATGCTAATACTTTCATCATTGACGAAACTTGCTCAGAGACCACAGTTGAGAATTTCATCTCGCATCCCACAGTAGGATTTGGTGCTGGTTTTTTGCCCACTGACCCAAATGTGTCGAACAATGTCATTCAGTCGACCATACCCAGTAGCTCTGAAGAACTTACTGCTGATAAGATAAAGGATCTATTGGGAAATGAAGCCAACTCTAGTGTGAAGATACT